ATACACAAGACAGACAAGATAGTATCTGCGCACAAAACAACACGTTTAATCAGGCCAAAAACTAAGATGCTAAACATTTAACAGACCTAATAGAGGCAAAATAAATAATATTACAAACTCTAATATAATACATATTACCATTAATAATACATATGGTTACTCAACACATAAATTTTAAAATTAACAAAAAAAACTATTATTTAATACATTATAGAATGATTGAAATTATGTCCTTCTATAATTTTAAACCCTGCCATGAATACTATCCAACCAAAAACATACATATCTCCATGTATGGATTAATGTATTGATAAAGTTATAACATTTACAAAGAATTAGCAGTTTTATTTAAAGTATTTTTTTTTTTGGCTTTTCATTATAGCCTTTACTTTGATAGGAACAGTTATGAACAGACAGGAAAGGGGGCAGAGAGAGGGAAGAACACGAGCAAAGGCTAGCAGGTGTGGAATTCGAACTCATGTCCGCTGCAGGCAAGGATCTCAGCCTTGGTACATGGGTCTCCAGCTCACCACACTGAGCTAACCAGGCGCCCAGAATTTATAAAGTATTTATAAAAGAATATATTAAAAGTTTATGAATATATAATAGTTTGACCTCCTAAATAACTTATATTTAAAAGATTATATCAATATTTATTTCTATAAACAGTAAGATAACCAATACAACTAGTGTGACATGTTTACATTTCCGTTTGCCTAAGTGAGGGTGCACCCCTCCCCCATCTCTTCACATCTATGTTAGGAAGTGTTGAGTGACGTCAGGTGGATGGACGAAAGCACACAACTGGGCAATGATACCCAGGTATCGGTATCTAGAAACAGTTATTTGAAATTTATGGTAATATAGAGTATGTCAAGCATCTAAAACAACAACAAGATAACTATTACATATTCCTTTGCCTAGTATCCTGACGACGCGCATCCAATAGCCTGCTCAAACGCAGAGAAACAAAAATAAACATCTGTCTTAATAATTGTCATCTGAGACTGGAATTTATGTCACGCTTGTGAACATAATGGGTCCAACTTATTACTTCAGTAACTATATGGATGACAGAATATGTCATAAAATCTAAAAATACTCTCATGAAATTTCCATTAGACAGTTCAATATGACATCCCCAGGCACCTCGACCGCTATCTTCTCTTCCTAAAAGGAGTGAGACCCCAAGTACATCGGTAAATATCAGTACTCTCTCAGCTCGATCAGCTACCTCACTGATTAAAACTCAGCTTGTGATCTCTAATCAGACTCTTAACATATCTCCTCATAGAGTGACTCGCTTCGCATCTTCGCGACACCAAGACGATTATCAGCCATACTGTCACCCTTACACTGCACTCTGAACCACCATTATGCTTAGATTCTTAACAGTATGACTAATAGACAAATACCTCCATGTAAAGATCCTTTACTGGCCATGCTAACCCATTTATTAGTTAGAATACTATTTGATATAATGTGATTGTGTACCAAAAACAAATATTCTATATCGACGCATTAGCTGTATTGCTCAGTTTGGGGAGTGTGCTACTCGCTGTTTGATGCTGTCATATAACACTATGTGGTACTAGGTTATAGCAAAGTTATGTCACAAAGCTCTTCCACAGATTTTAGCAAACATGATCGCAATATATACAGATGTAGAAACAAGCTTCTCCGGCCCTCTAATTCAAGACTTACAGTTACCATCGACGTCTCAACATCAGTTACTAACTCTCATTGGGTATAAAAGTCAGACTTCACGAACAAACAGAACAAGATAAACACTATCCCAAAACTCAAAACATTTCCTTTTAAAAATTGTCCCAGGAACACACGAATAAGAATCCAAGTGATTAAAACTAAGAACAACTACACTGTCTGTGATTCTAGCACTAGACTTTAAATGCATAGACGATTGTATAGTGATATGATATTAAAATTTCCTAATATAGAACATTATCAGAGCTGTTATCTCGGTACACATGTAGCATTCATCTAAAACAGTATTTCTATCATGATAGCGTCGTGAGTAAGTCAGTTTAACCATAGAGCCAAGACAAGTAAGAGCAAGCCAGAGCCATGCCATATTAGTGAAGGGAGTGTGTTACAATCAACAGCAAAGAATACATTACTGCAAGCTGGCAAAGCTCCTAGTCAAATCCATTATATCATAACAGCTCTTATAGCTGCCACACATGGGTAATCTACTACAACAGACATTATATAGAACAAAGTACTCGCACAATAACAGGCAGGATGTTTCACGTACATGTAGCGAATAATTAAGATGAATCCAGTTTGTCCGAATAATCTGATCATTGATTTAGTTATTGATCATTGTGATCTTATTGTTATTTTTAAAAGACTTTTTACCTGTCGAACTGCAATTGCTCAGTACGCATAATACGCAAACCAGCTGCCAATGCATGGCTCTCATAGGAGACAGTACTACATCCAGAAGCCTCTACAAGAGACGAGATGACTTCTTGATAGATGATCTCCTCACCACCATACTAGATAACAAACGTATATTTATAGATTGACAACCCACATCACAACCTTAAAGGTCCCTAGACATCGGCGAACAAGTGAGCTACGCCTGAGAAACCAAACGTCAATAGAAACATGTTAAGAAATCAAACCAAGCACGATATTTAAAATTTAGCACAATTAGAAACTGTAGCAACATTAATAAGCAGAAAGACTGAATTATAAAATGAGAGACTTACTACTGCACGCATTATAAGATATACAATGTGATAATAATCATCTCAGATGTTATGTCATAATATCAAACAAAATTGACCCCACCATAATCTACACAATAAAAAATACCCACATATATTATAACAGTATACTTTAGAACAAGTATTATATGTAAACCATTTCATCCATTGTTCATTAACCTCACGCTCACACATGCAGTTTGGCTGCTGTGCACAAAACTACCTCACCTGGGAATACGCGACACAGCTCGGACGTGCTTATAATCATAGACCGCATTCGGATCACGCATGGCTCTTACGTCCCACTCTGGAAGTCGCTCCCAATCAGCTCTCTCTCTGGTACTTCTCAACCTCCATGGTCTGCTCCCTTCGTCACACTGATTCTCTTCATAGAGACGCACAGAGCAGACGCCACGCAGCGACAAGAAGTCAACTAGGACAGAAAAAGAGAAATCCAGACAAATGCTAACGTCAGGCTACACATTTCTATAATCAATGACACGAAGAGCAACAGCTCCACAGATAGATGAATTAAGAACATATTACACAACTCTCTTATTATGTGAATACTACATAGGTGCACATGAGATAATCCTAACCAACCTGATTGCACCTTGCTTCTACTATGTATATACATCTCTAGATTACTCGATCTCTCAAGATTTTAGTTTCAACTAATACCCACACTAACAGACACACATTAATCTACAGAAACTATACCTTAACTAATTTAAAGTAAGAATGAACAACTATCCACCAGATTTTATGCAAGTTATCAATTGTATCAATTCATACTCTGAGAAGAACACATACAACACGAAGCAGTACCTATAATATACTCTCAGTATGACATTGAAGGCCTCTAAAGAGATCCACGCCGTCATGGCCAGGATCAGGATTATGGCTTCCTGATACTCTGCTCTCTTCTACCCACAATTAGTGATACTATCACTCATCATATTGTCAAAAGCACTCCAACTACACAATACCCAACCCTAGGAATGATGGAGTTAGAGAGACATCAATACTCACATCATGAGACAGAATGACCAAAAAGGAGAAAAACAAGTTGTCGAGGATCATATGCTTATAATCATCACTTATAAAATGTTATCGCGTAGCCAATTAATAGTACCTCACTACCAGCCTCACACAGAGAAAATAATTAACGTGTTTCTTCTATGTTCTACAAAACTCCTAGATAGTGCGTTTGAACTGCTCTATTGTCTCGCCTACGAGATATTGATTTATGTAATGATGATAACTCTCCATATCAATACTGCTGAACTATTGGAAGTATTTATCTCATGTGCTCATTACACTGAAAATGCCCTCTCAAAAAGAATTATCAGACACTACCACATATAATATTGTATCCAAAGCACAGACTATTTTGCTATCGTCTATGTCTTGTTATAAAAGCCATGTTTCTCGGAAAAGATAAAAAAGATCTCATGTTGAGTTTCTTGTCTACAGGATGGTCCTTACCCAGTGCAGAGGTCCGATACACAACTTCACAGCCAGTCAGTGGGATGGTGGGGTCATCAGCTTTCAGACGAATAACTCCTTTTAAGACTTTAACAGCACGAGCTGATTCCCAGCTGCCATTACGCGACAGGGCGAGCTGGTACCCACAAATGGAACTCCTCAAAGGCAAATTCATGGCTCTCTCCAAAAACTAAGAGACATCAGAAATAGGACACGTTTCATCAACGTATCAGAGGTTTCTGTAAGCTTCATCTGTTGCGCAGGCCAATGTAGAGCCAATTAGAAATTGAAAAAAAAAAAAAAAATGAAACACTCATTTGTTGGGAAATGAATGTGAAAAAGAAGTGATATTTTATGTGGGCGTACTATGGTTGCAGGCTTTAACACTTTTTCACAATCACTATGGCTGTGACTATGAAGCCACAGAGGATTACTCGCCTCCTGACAGCATCTCGTACCTGCCTCTTATGCCCAGAGCTATAGTCAGCAGGTCGTACACCACAGAGGCCAGACTGCAGGCTGATGAATACGATCATTGTTGTGTTCAGGAATTCTGCTCAGGACAGCGTCACGGTTAGCCTAAACACACAAACAAGATAGGGATGTAGAATGGCACTGTGATAGGTTGAGTTCCAGGATTCACTGCTTCAGAAAAGGGTGTGGAAATGTTTCCAAAGACTGTTTCTGTGTCTCAACCATGGACTCACTGATGAGCAGCAGCAGAAAAGCTTCTTTCTGTGTTCTCCTGAGGGCAAAACAGATGGAAAGTAGAGAGAGAGAGAGAGAGAGAAAAGAGAGAGAGAGAGGAGAGAAATGCACCCAAAGGAGGTCAGAAGATGGAGTTGGACAAGATGAGAGGAGAAAAAGGGAAAAACCGAGTGTGAGAAGATGGAGAGAGCTACTTGATGAAAAAGTACACTGGCAACAGTTTAATTTTGGGTGCCATGTTGGCTATTTTCCATTGCATTCCACTTTAGCACCAACAAACAGACGTTATCACTTACTCTCTCCCGAGTACACACCGTGGGCGTCGGCTTAGGGTGTAGTTCTTGCTGTGAGTGGTGTCTTGCCGTGTGGGGATCGTCCAAATGGCGACACTGTGGGAGGGTCTTTTCCAGAGGAGACCAGTAACTCTGTTCGCACATTCCTCTGAGCAAGATCTCTGCAAGCTGCCTGGCCTATGGTCTGCACACACACACAACACACACAACACACACACACACACACACACACACACACACACACAGCACATTTGGCAAAGACGATCTAGTGCTAACAGCAGCATCTGTTTACTTGGAGTTACTTTGCTTAAATATATTAGATAACAGTTATAATAATGATTTACCCCTGCCAGACATGTAATATGGATTCTTTCTGTACAAACAAAACCTAATATGAAGTCTACCTCCTTGTAGTGGGTTCTGTATCTACATCGATAGAAATCTGTTTAGGTTAAGGTAAGTTTAGGTTCGCCCTAGCCACTTTCTCAAATTCTACATGTTGAAGCAATGTGTAGATAGCTGGGTATTACTTTGGAGGCAACAACATTTTTAAAGGAATAGTTTGAGATTTGGGGAAATAAGTTTATTCTCCCTCTTGCCGAGAATTGGATGAGAAGTTGACACTGCTGTTAGCTCCTCCCGGAAACTGTAAAGCTCACTAATTAACACGTTATATCTACCTTGTTTAATCCGTGCGTATTTGCCAAAATGTCAAACTATTCCTTTAAGTAAGTCAAAGGTGAAACATGAGGTGATCCATAGACATCTCCTAATCTCAAAACAAAATATAAAAGGCCAACTTCCCAACCCATCCCTCACCATGCGCAGGCTCTGGGTGGTTCTGTTCTCAACAGCCCGAAGAATCTCCCGAAACCGGCCCACGCCTCTAGTCAGGTTGCTATGGCAATGTGGTGAGGAAACAGGAAGAAAAACACTTGTCAGAGTCTGTAGGATGTGTATGTGTGAATGCAAGATATCTCAAAGCAGACACGTGTGTATACTCCACTATGTTCACAACATTTTCAAGTTTCTATCTATGAGAGTCAGTTTACTGGCGAATATTCAGTAGTGACACTAGCAGATGTTTCTTTGCTCCACAACTTTGCCAGTTTGCAAGATGATACAGCAAAAGCCTGTGTTACAGTGATGCTTTAAAGTAAACTACATCCCCAACATTAACATCCACATGTCTCTTTGATCTTTGATGTTGGTTTATATATATATATATATATATTTTTTTTTTTTTATTTCACACTGTGCTGGGCAATTCTACATGCTGGTAGCTTCAAATGAGGTTTGAAACTAAGTTTTTTTGAAGGTTGTTATGGTCAGAAATGATATATGTGATGTTGGGAAACAAAATGTTCTACTTTCAGTTTGAATTTCATTACTTGTGTGATGATGTCTTAATAGCAGACACCAGAATTTAATTGAATGAATATGACACTGTAGTGTCTACATTTTTTAAGTTCCCTCTCCTGACACTGCAAAACAATGAGCTAGCACACGGGGGGAAAAAAGCTACAGAGGCAGAAAATTGTACAGATTTCATCAAGGCCATTAAAAAGTTATTTCTTCCAGGACAAGGCTTTAGTAGCTGCCACGGCCCTGAAGCTACCTCTGTACTTAAAACAACAACACTGTGGGAACTACTCTCTGTTGCACTATGTGTGTGTTACTTAACTGTGTTCACACTCTGCTTTTATCAACCTGTCAGCAGCTTTGTAACACATTGACCGCAAAGTGGGTGGAAAGTGCCCACAAAGGTTGTTCTTTCTGTTGCGGCAACCATTCTAAACTAGAAAAACTGTGAAAGTGTAAATACAAACTAACTTTATTTTTGTTTGTGAGCAGTAAAATCTGTTGTGCTGTGGTTCTGAAGTGACTGTTCCTTTCTGATTTCCTTTTCTGTCCAATATCTATCAATCCATCACCACCCTTTTCCCTCTTTTACCCATTCTTGAAGTGGATGACATGGGCTCTCTGCAGGCCTGTCTCCAGGAAGTAGCCCAGTTCCAGGTCTTGGGCTGTCGGGCCGGGCTTTGGGCTGCGGTTCTGAATTCCCACTGACAACGCCTGCAGAAACAGACATACAACGATAAAGAAAGAAAAAAAAAAAAAAAAGACAGAGAGAGCAGAGAGAGTTTAACCTAAATGAATGATTAATTCTAATTAGAACGACCACACATTTGTCACTGCATTCAAATTATTTGTAACACAGCAGAGCCCCAGGTTGGCTTTCACGTTTGATGAACAGCTATCGTTAACACAATGAAAACAGGGTTAACTAAAAATAATGAGCTGTGGTGAGTCAGCTGTATGCCTATTTCTGATTGACAGTTTGCCACAGCTATGGTGCGAGTTATCAGGCAATAAAGTGCACAATAAATTCTCGAGGGAAACACTGAGAGTCAAACTGGCGCACTCATTCTATTTCTAAATTTCATTTCTAAAGATGAAAATGCATGAGACATGATAACCAAGCAAGAAATTCAACAGAAAAATGATCATATTTCTGTCTTTTGCGGCGAGTACAGTATGTGTGCTTGGGACTGAGAAATGTACTTTTATTCACTATTGGTAACATACATCTTTTTTGGCCTGAATGTCACATGGATTATTAATCCAGCAGTGTCTCAAATGAATGATTATAGGGACATAATAATTAACTTTTGGTTGATAAATAAACTTGTTAAAATCTGCTGGTTGAGTTTGTGTATAAGGGGCAGTACACTGAGGGGAAATGTTACCAACAAGTGTTTTTAGAACGTCCACGTTTCATTTATATTAAAATTCTTATAAAGACTTAGGAAATTTGCTTAAGGAAAATATGTATTTGTTCCATGTTGGTTTCATTTTGTAATTGTTACAACATGAAAAATGCAACCCTAAACAATTAATGTTAACTTCATTAATCTAATCAAATTTTAAGACCTGTAAAAGTCTGTGATATTAAAAAAAATATTCCAATAACTCAGCGTTTCCTTAGTGACCTTATCCAGGTCATATGAAGTTTACAGAATATATCTATTGGCAGTTTGATATACATCCTCCTGACGTTTGTTGCAGTTTACTGTTATTTACCAGCTCAGTCTGTGTGTCCTCTCAGACATCCTCAAAAAGAGGAAGAGATTTGTTTGCCGATTGGCTGTCATGGGCAGTAATGCATTAGTTAAACTTGCACACTGTCTGCAGAATATTCATCGCACACCCACAGGGATGGCAGAACACATGGGGGTCCAGGCGCTCACAAGACATTTGGAGAACGCTCGTGTGAGAAAATACTGCAGCAGATAGTTATGAGACAAGTAGGCCAACTTCAAACACTGTACGAAACATAAAAAACATTAAAAAAATACTGGGCCACAAACACGTTACCTTCTCAGCCTCCTGCAGGTAGAGCAGAGCAATGTCTCCAGACTTTTCATAGCAGGTGATGATTTCCTGCTCCTGCTCTGTCGTGCCCCTATTGGACAACGGAGAGCCAGTGTTCTTATTGGATAGGGATGGGGAGGCAGCTGGGACCTTCTCTAAACACAGTCCTGAGGGGAGAGGGCGACAAGAGAGAGTGGGAAGGGTGGCCATGAGTCATTCATCAGTGTCTGGGATTCAGTTTAGCCTGTCAGACCATTTCTATATATAATTTCATATTTGTGGCAGAGTGGATCGGCGTAGTCTAACACTGGGATGATCATCTTCTTCTACTGATGATTGATTTGTGCCTCATAATGAATCATTTAAAGTCATCACGTTCATATATTATCAACAAGCAATAAGTATTCTCTTACACAGATAAATCAAATAAGAATTGAATTCATAAGACAGTTTATCCCAAAGCTGTTCATCAGCAGAGACACTCTACTGCCACCATGTGGAGCAGAGCGGTAGTGCAGAGGTTGGAGCAGACTGGAGTGATGGCAGGTGAGGCGGGGTTAAGTATGATATGAAGGCTGGGTGTGTGTTTATACCTTTAGTAGCGTATGCCTCTGCTATCATGGACAGCCTATACACAGGAGCTCCCGCCAGCTGCATGTCGTCCAGGTTCACCTTGCTGTAGTGACCTGTCAATACATCAATTATGCATCAAAGACTAAATCGATCAGCACTTTTTTGATTGATAAAAACATCATGGACAAAAACCAAATATGAGAAGATAAACCAGTGTGTGTAGTGTGTGTGCTACCTAAAGCGTCTCTGTGTTCTCCCTCCACATAGCAAAGTTTAGCCATCAGCACGCTGGCTTCCTGAAGGTAATCGGCCTGCAGGACAGAAAAAAGTCTAAATATATACAGATTTTAATGTGCCCATTTTGAAGAGCTTACATTAACCACATTCTGTTTGCGGCGCACTGTGACAGAAACACAAATCAATTGGTAAAATAAGTAAGAAACAAACTGTAACAAGTGACAACACAAGCAAGATCCACAGTTACCTTGAGGTTTCCTCTGTCCAGAGCAGCAGTGAGGTGTTTCCTGACCTCCACTAGTTTGGGTTGCGGGCCCCTGGGGCTGGCTCCCTGTTTGATGGGGTTCTCCTTCAGGTACGTCTGAAGCTTGCATTCCCCCAGCAACAGCTCCCCTAGGTCATCTACACACACACACACACAAGATGTTTGGAGAAAACATGATCTTCATCTCTCCACCACTTTAACAGACTTGGATTAAATAAATTAAGTCAGTCAAGGAACAATTTGCCAGATTAAATCTAAAATCAATTGACAACCAATCTAATACTTAATCTAAAACTGATATATAGTTAATCCAGGATCACTGTATTGCATTGTAAACTCAATCTAAGTTTAATCTAGATAGACAATTTAAGGTCTAAATAACAACACAATGGACAATCTAATGACAATGTGTCCACCTTAAGGGTTCTCCTGGCTGTCTGCAGTGAGTAAATCTACACTGTTGTGTTTTCACACATAGCAGCCTGTATTACATACAGCCTTAACAAGCTTCTTAATCCAGTGAGTGAGTGTGTTTAGAAGCTCAAAGGGTGAAATGAGCAGTAATCCTGTTCCTGATGCCAGCTCGCAGCTCTCACTACATTGCACAATGGCAGCAACACTGATTCTACATTTTTCTATTTAATATATAATATACTCACATATATTCTACGCAAGAATAACATGTGGAAACATTTCTCGTCAAGATACAAATGTTATTTCACTGAAAGCCAACAGACATCACATGCTATTACTTATTTTGCCGCATTTAGGGTCTGGGGGTGTTTAACACACTCATCAAAGCATCGGAGTTGTTTTGTTTTGGCTCGACACTGATCTATTTATATTTCTGTTTTATGACTCCAGGCAGCGTATAGGAGATGTAAACCACACTAGAAGTCTTCATGGTGATTCAATGCATTAACTACCATGAGCAGTCTGCCTTGGCTATTTGCAGTGGTGACAAGATAGACACATCTGCAACAGGAGAGCATCTGTCAATCTGGAGGATCTACAGTCGTGAATGTAACCTGGATAGGATGGTGTTTACATGTAGTTCTTTTAAATCTGCTTGTATGTAAGGCAGCTCATTTCCACATGAAGAGGGGCTGATATGATATCAGATGTGAAGATGGTAAACATGTACAGCACATACACAGGTGGGCTTTTATGTTGAAAGAAGCAGCTTTGATTGCTGTGCTGCCTGTTGTGCAGCTGACAATCCAGCATCAGTGAGGAGTTTGACAGCTAGCATGTAGCCATCTTAGCCACACAGCTCACTTCAGTGAAACTAGTTACGATGCGAAACCAAAAATAAAAACCTTCAGATTTAGAATTTGGTTAGTTTATGATAGAAGTCAAGCAAAGACATCGTTAACCTTAAAGTGGCAGATTTCTGAATGGAGTTCGGTTGACGGTAGAGCAGCCACAACTGTCAGACTACAGGAACTAATGGTCACAGAGTTAAGTTCTCCGGATCTTAAAATCAATGTCTCTCAAACACTGACACAATCCCCGGTCTCTCTCTTGACCTTTGCTAGTTAACCGGCTCTGACCACACCGCACACTGCTGGAAAACTCCCAGCATCGGCTGCCGCTGTCAGGAAGTCCCGAGGACTCGGAGCAGGCAGAAGGCCTTACACACTGAATGAACCAACCACAGCAACCCCGCACATTTCTTACCGTTTGATATTAGTTTGGCGGAGAGCTGCCGTACTAACTCCGGTATCTTGTCCCATTGACTCTCTGAACGACACCGCTCTATCTCGGTCTCCAGTCGTGAGCCAGACTTCCTCGCTGTCATTTTGGTGAGTGGGCTCGACTGGACCAAAACACCACAAGAGGAGCTGACGTCGAGCTGGTGCTCACGAGAAGTACGGCTTCCGGTCGATTTCGAAATAAAGCTTTATTTGCTAATGGATTTACAAGACAGTATCAGCTTGAATAAAAAACAAAACACGTATGGTTTAGCTTGTTGTGTTAGTTGACACATTGTAACTGGTTGAGATAACTTTTAACTGTTAAAAAAAAAAGAGTAAGAGGACAAAAGTGAGCAACTTACTGGGGTAAAAGAGTGACATCTGGTGGCCAAGAGTTTATAATTACTTTCCTCTTTTTTCTGTTTGCCAGCAGGGCATCTTCCTTCTTCCTGATTTGCTGAATTGACTGTGGGTCTCTCACAGGATCCCTGTTGAAATCTGATTGTGTACATA